GTTGAAATTTGTGATCACGTATAAAGAAAACTAATCTTGGCTTCTCTGCTCTGTAAACTAATCAAGTAATCTCTCATTCAACCGCGGATATTTCTGAGTGTAACGGCCCATCTTTGTGCATTTCGCTGACATCTCGAGCTCTCCCTTAAAGAGATTTTCTTGATCTTTCCTCTAGCGACTCACTGATGACTGTACTCTCTGGTTATCTCGGAATGTGTTTTCGACGGCAATATTGCATTGAAACTCTTTTCTGTTTCGAAAATTTTGCGATCATTTCAGTTTGTTGGAGAACAGAATTCTCTGAATGTGGTCTCGGCTTATAGACGATATTTTTCCGATTTTTTTCGTAAAGTTTGCACCGACTATCATGTCTCGCGAGTTTAGGGTCTCGGCTTATAGCCAAGGTCGGCTTATAGTCGAATAACTACGGTATTAACTATAAAATACTGCATGAACCAAGTTTATTTGTTAGTTTTACTTCAAATGCATGCTGGACTGTAGCCTTCTACCATGGATATAGCTTTTGGATTGTCACAGAAGTACTGTTGAACTGGGTCCCAAGCTGTCTCTAATTTTCCAATCCCACCTTGTTTGGATGAAGCTATGTAACATGGAAAACATCCTATATTTCTCAACTTTACCTTATGGACATTATTCAACACCGTTTCACAGACCTTTTTAACTTTTTAAAGCAGAATTTGCCTAGGTAGGCAAGGAAGTTGGCTGGAAAGAACTCTTGAATTAATGTTTTGACACTGCTTCATGTGTGTTACATTTGGAAGCCAGGTCCTACCTGTGACAAATAAGCTAGGTAAAGTAGGTGAAATCATTAAATTTATTTTTTCTTTTTTGTGCAGATATTTGGTGACCTTCAGCTCTCTCTCAGACAATCCTGAGGATCCACAGGTATTACAGCACTTTGGGTTTGTCTTTTTTGTCACACCAGTCCTGTTGCATTTGAACCTCGCATGTTCTGTTCAGTTAGTGTCTGGGGAATCTCCTTTTTTGATGCACACGGCAACAAAATCTTGCCAACTTTACTTGGTCTCAAGGGAGACTTTATAAATTATTAATCATTTTTGTGATCAGTCTATTGCATTTGATAATTTGTGTGGTTGACTTGAATAAGATCAAACCAGTTATCCTCTTTTCCAACTCCTTTCTTGCACAGTGTACATTGTCATGATACTGATTTCTTCCCCCCTCTCAGGCCATAGTAATTTGGGAAATACGCACAGGAGCAAAAAAGAGAGGATTTCTCTGCGGAGATCAATCTCAGTGGCCAGTATTTAGGTAAGGTTGTTTTGTAGTAGCAATGAGAACACACTGTAAGCTGCAGCTGTAAAGTTAAGTTTGTATCTATCATTGTTATGCTCTATTTCTATAGATGGAGTGCAGAGGGTAAATATTTTGGTCGTTTAGGAGAGGACAGCATAAGTATATATGAAACACCGGTGAGTTGTCACCTCGTATATTCTCCCTGAAATAGCCTTCTTCATGCAGATATTTTTCCCTTACTTGGCCTTCAGACAGGATGTTTAGAGTATTCATTATGAAATGTTAAGGCAAGAGAAAACTGTAAAGTAATATTGCAGTGTTCTCACAAGGCCCAATGTGCCTCAATGGGTGCGTTGTCTTGGCTTTTATTGCATCATCTCAGTTTTCCTTGTGGGAATCCTGCAAGGCTGCAGCCTGGTGAAAACACTGATATTGCCTTTGTCGGACTTTACTCTTTTAAACCATAACATTAGTGTTCATTTTCTCCACCATGTTTCCTCTGCATTTCCTATGGTATTGACAAGGAGAATTTGTTTGACAATCAAGAGCTTCTTGAATTGGTGATCATTTTCCTTTTTCCTCATGACTTTTACCTATGATTCAAGGGCAATAGTATAAGGAGAAATTACATAATAGTCACTCAACGGAGTTAGAACTGTAGGTGGAGTATTTGTTATATGATTAGAACCATCCATGTGTAAAGAACACCTCGGCCGTTTATCACTTTCAGTCAGCTATTAGCAACTAATGAAGATTAGCAATTAAATAAGACGATGTATGTCCCTGAACATTTTATTTGTGCTTTTCTGTAGTCGTTTGGTCTTTTAGAGAAGAAAAGCTTAAAGATTCAAGGGGTCAGGTAAAGTAAATAACCTCACATGTATGTCAGTGTTGTAAAAAAAAAAAAAAAAAAACTTAAAAGCATAGTTTTAACCTTAATAGCACTTTGCATTTTTTGTGCTTGATAGGGAGTTTGCGTGGTCTCCAACAGATGATGTGATAGCATTTTGGGTTCCAGAAAATAAAGACACACCAGCTCGTGTTACCCTCATGGAGATACCTAGCAGAAAAGAGATACGAGTTAAAAATCTTTTTAATGTGTCTGAGGTAATGATAATGCAGCTGATTTTACTTGAATAATTGGTGAATATTGCTCATAAAGCAAATTTTTTTATTCAATGTCTACAGGAATTTAGGGTTTGCAGGGTTTTTTGTCACTGTTATATTATTGGAGAGGAAAGGGGAAGCCATTTTCTCAACTTTCAGATTGAAAACTAAACCAGTCGTGACTTGGTTATTCACATTTCCTTGCCTCTCTCCTTGTGTTCATTTTGAGTTCTCATAGACATTTTACATTCTTTCTTATTAGCCATTGTAAATGTTTTGAATTGGTTTTGGTTTTCTTAATGCATGCTGCAAGTGTTTCCTCAATACAGTTTCTTCATTGTACTGTGGACATTTTAGGCAACTGTGAGATAAAAAACATTGACACATTGTCTTGATTTTCTTATTTCATTTCAAAGTTGCAAGTGTCAGTTTTCGGTAGTCTGATGCCATAGGTAACCAAATGCGACAATTATATTATTCCAATATAACAGTGCAAGTGATGAAGTTCTCCTTTTGCCAGTTCTGCTACTGAATTGAAGTGCTGATAACTGGGAGAGAATCAAACTGATGCTCAAAACATGAAGTTTTTTCAGCATAAACAGATGTCACTGTAGCGGCAATTTGTTTGAACAGTATTTTGAATTTATTTTGATTTCAGTGTAAGATTTACTGGCAACAAAAAGGAGACTATCTAGGTGTAAAAGTAGATAGATACACCAAAAGTAAAAAGGTTGGTGCTTTCTTTTGATGAACTCTTTCACTCCCAAGATCTGATTGTTAATTCTCCCCTCTGGCTGCTACACATTTCCTTGTTAATTAGTGACAAGAATTTGGTGTCAAATAAAGATAACCTCTACCTTGTTAGTTTCAGTATTCTCATGACCTTTTTTCTGGATAATGTAAGGATATTATAAGGAGAACTTACATGTTAATCACTTAGGAGAGTGAAAGG